GAGCTTCCGAAGATCAGCAGGTTCTGCAAAAGGCCTCGTACGGCCGAGTCATGAGAGCCGGGAGCGGTGGGCGAGTTGGACTCTCGGACCAGGATGTACGTGGACGCAATCAGGCCGGAGAAGGCAAACACAAACGAGACAAAGACCCACGCCTTCACCTTCTGCGCGACGGAGTCGTCAAACCCGCCGTCCGCCATCGCGCTCCACGTGATCGCGTTCACCATGAGAAGCGCGACCGTCTGCAGGATGCCGGGCACCCAGTCCGCGCCCGGCGTGCCAAAGCCGTAGTCGTTTGCGGCCGCCGCGACCCCGTCGATCCACACCAGCCACCCGCTCGCAAAGAGGACTCCGCCGCCCGCGGCGGCGAGCGCGCCGACCGCGCTCGAGTCGGACTGCGGAGGCGGGGGTGCAGGCCATCAGCGCGCGCGGCGGTGCGTGTGGTGGGGAGAGGCAGGCCGAGGGGGCACCATGGGTGGAAAAGAAATAGCCTGCGGGTTCCACTCGACTCCACTAGGCGAGAATCGGAGAAGGACTGCGAAGAGAGATAGGAAGAGGCGGACGCCCAAGGGTGGGCGACGGCTAGCGCACCACACCCCTCTCCTTAAAATCCCTGTGTGGTGGCGGCGTGCCGTCCTCCCATCCGCATCCCTACCTTGGTAGGGTGCCCACAGGGCCCAAAAAAAGAAAGGAAAAAAGAAATGGGCCACCCCCGATCGCAGCACTTCGTGTTGGCCAGTCGAGAAATTGAGAGTGTGACTAGGAGGGTGGGACGCTGGGGATTCTCAAAGGTATACCCTTGGAATGGCCGGATCCAGCCTTGAAAGTACGAGATCGCGCGCGCTTCGCGCGCTGCACCGCCTATTCTCCGCGCGGCTGAGTGACGACGCGTGCCGTGTACCAGTAGAGTTGGGCGCGCGCGGCGCGACGGCGCCCGCGAGGGAAGGCGCGGGTGCAGCGGCCGCCGGCGGCCGTACCGCCCGCCAGCCGGCGCAGCAGCGGCCAGCGCAGCGGCCGCCGGCGCAGCAGCCAGATCAGCCGGTGCGCGCCTTGCGAGGCGAGTACTGCCGCCCGGCAGCCTTGAGGCGGCCGGGCGGCAGTACTCGTTCGAACTTTGCGAGCCGTGCGCGCGCCGAGGCGCCCGCGGCGCGCGCCCGCCCGGCTGCCAGTAGGAGGCGGCGCAATATGGCCTATAGTACAGCCCTTGAGGAGGAGGAAGAGGCTGGCTGGCAGTGCTGTATGCCGCCGAGGGGCAGTTTTGGGGTGCTGTCACGGGCCCAGGGGGCTGCAGAAGGTGTCCGCAGCCGGGACAACCCGCCCCCCCAGCCGAGGCCGGTGGAAGCCCACTTGCAAGCAGCCATGAGGAGTCCTCTTGGTGCTCCTGGCGCCCGTTGGAATGGCGAGCGCGCCCCGATGGGGGGGGGGGGGGGGGTCTTGCTTGCTCCACACCGAGCGCCCACGGTCCGGACCGGTGCTTGCACCGAGGGTCGGCTTGCACAAGGTCTGAGCCGCGGGCGCTCGGCGCCAAGTGCAGTGTCACGCTCGTGCTCGCGCGTGACAAACGCACCACCTTTGGGGAATGCTT